TTTGCTCCGAGGCCTGTATCACCCTCCCCTCAACCGGCCAGACGCAAGACCCAAGCCTGGGGGCTCGGGTTGGCCTGCCACGGGGCCGTCAGGAACATGACGCGACCCGGTCTGAAAGGCGGCGCGAGCCCCCGCCGCGGACGTCCCGCGAGCACGGGACCGTCCAAACCCACGACGGGCCCGCCCAAAAACGCCGGCATTTCCGAGTCCCGTCGGACTCGAGTCTCACGGCGGGGAACTTTTGGGCAGCGTGTGGCCCTGGCGGCCCCCGCGGCACGCTCTGACTTGCGAGCGGCTGGCGCGTCTCTCCGCTCAGAGGGGCGCTGCCGCTGGGGGGCCAGGAATGAAAGGGGCCCTGGCACACGCAAGTGAATATACACAAACAATTAACAGGATTCCCCACATGTTCCATATTTTCTGGGATTCTGCCTTCCACCCACTTCCCCTATTTTTTCCCATATCTTCTGGGGGATCGACGATTCATTCTCTGTCTGTGCGCGTTTGTTCCCTCCCGAAGGAAGCGGATCGCGCGTCGCACACCGAAGCGTGCTGGGCCAGAGCCTGCGGCGCGACACGCCGGCCCAGAGTTCCCGACCGCACTGTGGACAAGCGCGTGCCGCCGCTCGCCAGGGAACCGCTCGCCAGTGGCCCGGATCCGCCGCGGGGGATGGACGATCCGTGGCACCGAGGCGAGGCTGAGTTTCGTCGAACGTTTGCGAGTTTGTCGAACGTTTCTGTCGAGAATGATTTTTGTCGAATGATTTTTGCGAACGGTTGTCCAGAGTTCCCGACCGTACTGGACAAGCGCGCTCCGCCGCTCGCCAGGGAACTGCTCGCCAGTGGCCCGGAGCCGCCGCGGGGGATTGACGATCCGTGGCATCGAGGCGAGAATAATCCGACCAGCCATAACTGGGGGAGCTGTGGTCCTTACCCCCCTGGGGGAACCCATCGCATCGATGATCTCTCGAGGGGGGTGTCGAAATCGATGGGCCCCCCAGGGGGGTATGGACCACGGCTCCCCCATTTGTGGCTGGCCTGATAATATTTGTCGAACGTTTGCGAGTAAACACTTTGCGAGTGGTGGAGCGCGCTCGGTGACGTACGTCTCCCCGACTCTGGCGAACGCCCGACCGCTCACTGCACCGACCTTGCAGACGTGCTGAAGCGAGTTTGCGCGTGGATTTCTGCCAATGCAAAACCCCGAAACGGTGAGCGAAAAACGATGAACATTTCACGTGGATCTATTTGAGTCCTCATTCCTGGCCCCAAAAATCCGCACGACAATTCGGAACGAGATTCTCCAGGACACTGCGGGCCCATCCTATATTGTTCTCCGAACGAAATCCGCTCTGCGATGTTGGCGCCATGGGACCGCGGCTGCCGGGAGGCAGGCTGGAGCAGGGAGGCGCTCGTGGACATGTCGCAGAGGCTCCCCGGCCACCACCGTGTCAGTGTTGAGCTACACTGTCAATGCCTCGCTCCCCTGGGGCCTTGCCGCGCCCCTGCTCGTTGACACGTGCCACGTGTGCGGAGCGACACCTTCAGTGCCGCGCTCTCCTGTGGCTCTGCTGCGCTCCTGCGCGCAGCGCACACCGCCAGAGGCGGCGGAGAGCCTGCGAGCTCCACCTGTAGGGGGCCACATGCGACCCCTACCCCTACCCCCCACCATTTCGGAGGGGGAGGGCGGGGTTCACTTCGCGAACGAGGTGAACCCCACCCTCCCCCTGAGAAATCGTGAGGGGTAGGGGTAGGGCTCGCATGTGGCCCCCCCAACCTGCCGAACGTGCGCCCCCGCTCCCGACGGTGATCCTGCAGGGCCCGCGGGGCCGCACCGTGGCTCCCGCCTCCCGCGGCCGCCGCCGCAGCCGCCGCCGCTCGCCGACGCCGCCGGCTCGCGCCGCCACGGCTCGCCGAGGAGAGAGGCAGGATTAGTCCGCACCTAAGCGAGGAGGAGGAGGAGGAGGAGGAGGAGGAGGAGGAGGAGGAGGAGGAGGAGGGTGAGGAGGAGGAGGAGGAGGAGGAGGAGGAGGGGAGGAGGAGGAGGAGGAGGGGGGGGGGGGGGAAACGGGTCACCCGGGTCGGAACGCGCCTCGAATCGGACCGCATCGGCACAGGGCCGGAGCCGGAATCGGACCGGATGGGCTGCGCCAGGATGCACAGCGGCGCCAGGCAGGCATCAGGCCGCATCGGATCGCCGGAAGATCGGCATCGAGTCGGATGGGGCCTGCCAGAGTCGGCATCGAATCGGATCCCATCGGATCGAAGTGGACCCTGGGAGGGCCCCCCACTGGGTGCCCGAGCGGGCACGCAGAAGGCGCCTGCGCAGCACACGGCATCCACGAGCCTCCTGCCCGGCTGGGGCCAGCCTGCGCCCCGGCGTGGTTGTAGACGCCCTCTGGGCCGAGGCTGGGATCAGGTCGGGCATGTCCTCCTCCAGGCGGGTTTTGGACGAAAAATAAAAAAATATTCACAGCATATTCGAACATTCAAAAAAATCGAAAAAGTCGCCTCCGTACCTTAAAAAAATAACTGTGTTTGAACATTCTTCTCCATTAGAGGGACATGCCCGACTCAAGGCTGAGAGGATCTGTGCGCCCTGCCAGGGCCCAGAGGGTGGCCCTGGATGGCGGCGGTGCTCACACATCAAACGGACGAATAAGGCATGAGATGAACTTGGAGGAGGAGGTGGTGGAGGAGGAGGAGGATTCCTCCGCCTTCTCCCTCTCCTCCTCCTCCTCCGCTGCTTCCTCCTCCTCCGCCATCGGAAAGGCCTGTCCCAGGGCGGCTGGAGCGTGTGTTACCCCGACGTGCCACCGTAGGGGTATACACTTTCCAGCCGCCATGAGACAGTGGAGGCATCCCAGTTGGGGTCCGAAGAAGTCGGGTCAGAGGATCGCGCCGCATCGCCGACACATCGGCGATGCATCGCCGATGCACCAGCGATGCATCGGCGACGTCGGCTATGCATCGGCGCCGTCGGCGTGGAGAAGATCGGGCTCCACATCGAGCCGCATCGCCGACGCACTGGCGATGCGGTGCGATCCTCCGACCCCACCTGCTCGAACCCCCTCTGGGAGGCCTGAAATTAGGTCGGGCATGTCGTCCTACAGGCGGACCTTGGACGAAACATAGGAATAGAACAACAACCAAAAACTAGACCCGGAATGATCAAACAAATCATCGAACCATCGCCCCCATACTACATATTGCTCAACATTACTGTTTGCACACTCCTCCTGCAGAGGGACATGCCCGACGCAAGCCTGGGCGTCCCCGCTGGCGGAACAGAGTCTCCTGTGCCGTCCTTCGCCCGCTGTCTCCTGCGGCTCCCGGCCGGGAGGCGGCGGCAGAGCGGCCCCGGATCCGGGGCCGCTCTGCCGCTCCCCAGCGGCTCGCGGCGCACGCAGACGAGCTGGGCCGCGCCGACTTCGAGAGAGAGAGAGAGAGAGCGGCCGGCGCGGGGTCCACCCGGACGGCCGCTCGCCAGCGGCTCGCTCCGTGCCGGCCCCGCGCAAGGCCCGAACCCGGGCCGCTCCGGAGGCCGACCAGGGCCCCCGGATGCGGCATCGGAGACCGCGAGGCGCGTCGGCGAGGCTGGAGCGACGAGAGCACCCCTGCAAGCCGCTCCTTTCTCGTCGTGCTCCTTTCTGCTCGTGCTCGTTTCGGATTGTTCCTGGCCCCCTGGTGGCCAGGAAGTGGCCCAGGATAGAAGAATCAGAAATGAAAGGATCTTGGCCCCCAAGAAAATCATAGAACTTTCGAATAGTCAGAAATGAACCATGAGTAGGTCGGAAGGCGTATCTTGAAACATACAGCAGGAAGGCGTTGACAACAGATGGGGTTCCATCCGCCCCCTTGGGGGGACGGAAAACGTGAAGCCACTCGATCATGGAAGTAGGAAGGCGCTTAAAGTAGATTGCAATCAGGGAGTCCAACCGATGGGTAAGCGGTCGTTACGCGAGATGGCACAGCGACCTTACGCGGTGGCTTGCGCAGGCCGCCAGCGCGAAACGCTACAGTGGAGACGAGGGCGCTTGCGCACGACCTCACGCGGGCAGCTTGCGCGCCACTGTCGGCGCAAACGACCCCGCTCTCGCTGCGCCGCTCCTCTGTTGGCAACGTCGACTCCCACAGGAGATCTCGACCGCCTTCCCTGGGGCTGGCATTTCATCCTGACACGTTTCTAGAAGACGGCCCCAGGGTCTCAAGCTTCCCCGATACGCAACACTCAACACGCAGCGTCTCAACACGGGGCTCAACACGTAGACCGACCACGTAGGTCTGACGCGATACGCTCGCCAAAACGTGGGCCAATACGTTGAGCCAACACGCAACGTATTGGCACGGACGTTTTGAGCACGGTGCGTGTTGCGTATCAAATCGGGGGTATTGGGGCAGCTAAGCTAGGGTCCAATGAGAGCCCCCAAAGACGGAGATCGTCAAAAACCGTCAGTCGCGATCCCTATCCACGACGCGCGGGGGCCTCACATCCTGTGGGGATCGAGGAAGCACCTCTGGTGCGAAGCGCCGACTTCGTCTTCGTCGTCGTCGGCGTCGTCGTCTTCGTCCTCGTCCCTCGTCCGTCGTCCGTCGTCCGTCGTCGTTCTTCCGTCGGCCGTCGTCCGACGTCCGTCGTCCGTCATCCGTAGTTGTCGTCGTCGTCGGCGTCGTCGCCGGCGTCGTCGTCGTCGTGGTGGTCGCCGTCGTCGTCGTTGGAGTAGCCATCGTTGGCGTAATCGTCGTCGTCGGCCTCGGCATCGGCGTCGGCGTCGCCATCGTCGGCGTCGTCCTCGGCGTCGGCGTCGGCGTCGGCATCGGCGTCGGCGTCGTCGCTGGCGTCGGCGTCGACGCCGGCGTCGTCGTCGTCCTCGCCATCGTCGTCGTCGTCCTCCTCCTCCTCGCCGCCGCCGCCGCCCGCAACCTCGTCGGCGTCGTCGTCGACCTTCGCCAGGTGCCATCCTGCGCAGAGCGCGGCGCCGCCAGCGGGCCGAGCCCCCCGCCGCGCGCAGCATCGCCTCGACGCAGCGGCGCCGCGACCACGCCGCGCCGCCCGGTGGCCCGGCGCCGGCGGCCTGCGCGCAGGCCTCGGGCGCGGAGGCCCCGGCCGCGAGCTCCTGCGCCGACGACAACGACGACGCCGAAAACGACGACGACGACGACGACGACGACCACAACGACGACGACGACGACGACGACGACGACGACGACGACGACGACGGAAAAGACGACGACGACGACGACGACGACGACGACGACGACGACGACGACGACGACGACGACGGCGACGGAAAAGACGACGACGGCGACGGCGACGGCGACGCCGATGACGACGCCGACGGTGGCGACAGCCGAGGGCAGCAGGCAGACCTCCCTCGCGCCGGCGCGGCCCAGGGGGCCCAGGTTTCCGGCGCCGTGGCTCGTCTCGACTCCCACGCCTTGTCCACGGCTTCGGCATCCAGTGGCCAGGTCCCCCCAGGGCCCCGGGGCCACGAGGGGACGACGAGCTGCCCCCCATGGGGAGGTCGCGGGGAGCCCTGGGCTCTGGGACCGCGGAGTGACTCTTCCAGGACGACCGAGGAACAGTACCCCTGGGATGCCCAGGAAACGCCTGGCGACTGAGGCCCTCTCCACCCCAGGGGGTTCGAGGACGGAGGCTGCCGATGGGCTCGGGAGACGTGCTCCAAGACCGCCCGGGCCGCCGCGGAAACCTGGACAAAACTGCACCTGTTGGGGGACCAGTGCGAAACCTGGACGAAACCTCGGAGACCCTATTGGGGGGGCACCGCCTCGTGCAGATCTTGTCGTGCCAAGCCTGGACAAAGCCTCGGAGAGACCCTCCTGGGCAGAACTGCGCCTATGGGGGGCGCCCGGGGGTCCACGCTCTGCCTCCGCCCGCCCTCCGCCAGCCTGCCGCCGAGGAGGAGAGAGGCGCCAGCCTCTCGCTAACCCCCGAGGGCGCAGGGGCCGCTGTGGGAGCGCCCCTTCGCGCTCGGGAGCGCAGCCGAGGTCCACCCGGGCACCCCGCGACCCAAGTCAGCTCGACATCGCCTCCTTTAGGGACCCCTCCCGGCGGGTCCATCCCAGCAGCACCTCTTTCCAGCTGCGTGCAGCCGCGGGGGGGCGAGACCCCCCCAGATTTCCTGGACACCCACATCCATCAGAAACAGCAGTGCCACCTCGATCGGAGCTGTCCGAATCAGCTCCGACCTCTCCCTCCGAAAGCCTGGAGACCTCCGCCAGCAGGCGAGAGGGCAAGCTTGTGGGCACAGCGAGAGCTTCCCGAGAGGCGACGGCGACGTCGTCGTCGTCGGCGCCGTCTCCGCACAGAAGTCGGGTCGCGCCCCCCGACGATGCGGCGGGGGCTCCTGGGCAAGCCGCTCGGCCCTGGCCGGGTCGGCGGAGCAGAGCGCCTTGCCGCGGCGGAAGCCCACGGTAGAGGATGGGATGATGAGAAGGAGGAGGAGGAGGAGGAGGAGGAGGAGGAGGAGGAGGAGGGAGGAAGCATCGAGGAGGGAGAGGAGGAGGAGGAGGAGGAGGAGGAGGAGGAGGAGGAGGAGGAGGAGGAGGAGGGGAGGCAGCATCGCGGAGGAAGAGGAGGAGGAGAAGGAAGAGGAGGAGGAGGAGGAGGGGAGGAGGAGGAGGAGGAGGAGGAGGCATCGAGGAGGGACTGGAAGACGTGGAGGAGGAGGAGGAGGAGGAGGAGGAGGAGGAGGAGGAGGAGGAGGAGGAGGAGGCATCGGGAGGGACAATGGAAGACGTGGAGGAGGAGGAGGAGGAGGAGGAGGAGGAGGAGGAGGAGGAGGAGGAGACGAGGGAGAATGGAGGACGTGGAGGCCCAGCTCCTCGCGCCGCTTTGGACCCCCATGGGGCCCTCCGGGCCTCGCGACGGGTGCCCCGGAGGCCATCTGGGCCTCCATGGAAGTCCTGGGGACACCTCTTTGGGCCAGGGGCACCTTAGGCAACACCCTGCGGTTGGCATGAATCGGCGGTGGGTAGGAGAAGGCCTTCTCCGAAGGCGGCGGGACTTCTCGGAAGCCCTCGCGCCCCCTGAGAAGTTTCTGCGTCTTCGAGGAAGGCCTGGAAAACTCCTCAGAAGGGGGCTTCCGAGCCTTCCTTCTGAGCAGGCCTTCTGAGGAGGAGGAGGAGGAGGAGGAGGAGGAGGAGGGAGGACGAGGAGGAGGAGGAGGAGGAGGGGGGGAGGAGGAAGCATCGAGGGGGAGAGAGGAGGAGGAAAGAGGAGGAGGAAGAGGAGGAGGAGGAGGTCTCACTTCCCCCCCCGGGCTCGCTGCCGAATGGAGGCAGGGGGTCCCGAGGGGAACGGGCCCTGGACCTGCGGGGCCGTCCCCTGGGGACCAGCCTTCGGCTCATCCCGAGCCGCTCTTTGACGCTCTCGGCGTCATCTTAAGCAGTGCCCCCCCCCCCCCCCCAGGAGGCCAAAATGTGGCCAAAACCATGATAAAATCAATGATTGTGGCATTATCGCCGAGGCCTCTTGGAGCGTCTTGTGTGCCTTTGGGGGGCCTCTTGGGGCCTCTCAAGGGTCTCTTGGGGGCCCAGGGAGCCAGAAAACGGCAAACAAAACTCTCTGCATCCAGGTGCGCCGCGTACGACTTCCGCCACCGCGTGGACACAGAAGTCCAGAGGCGGGTGGCGCCTCCGACAGTGCCTGAAAGGGTAGGGCCTGGCCAAAACGTCCTGGCGACGTGCAGCTGCATTGGAAGAGCCGCGGCGGTGATAGAGACGTGCGCAGCCGGGCGAAAGAAAGGAGGAGGAGAGGAGGAGGAGGAGGAGGAGGAGGAGGAGGAGGACGAGGAGGAGGAAGAGGAGGAGGAGGAGGAAGAAGGAGAGAGGAGGAGGAGGAGGAGGAGGAGGAGGAGGAGGCGGAGGAGGAGGAGCAGGAGAAGGAGGAGGAGCAGGAGGAGGAGGGGAGGAGGAGGAGGAGGAGGAGGAGGAGGAGTCGGCCAGTTTCCCTCCGGACCCGCTCCCCTCACGGCGACCAGGGCGCGCCGGGGCGAGCCAGACCGGCGGCCACCGGCCCAACCGGCGGAGCAGATCGCCTCGCCGCGGGGGAGTCATGCCTGGAATAGGAAGGCACCAACTATACACCAACACCGATCCTGGCCAGGATCACCCTGGGCCCAGGATCGGTGTATACGCCCTCCTGCCTTGGGCAAGAAGGCATATACACCGATCCTGGGCCCAGGGTGATCCTGGGCCAGGATCGGTGTTGGTGTATAGTTGGTGCCCTCCGATGGAAGGGCTTGCGGCTGGCAGCCGGGCCCTGTCACGCCAGCAGAAGTTGTGCCAAGACCAAGTGCGGCCGCTGCTGGGCAGGCGACGCTCTGTCTCGAGTGGGCAACGTCCGCGGCGACACCGACAGGGACTGCAGTTGGTCCCCATTTCGGTCCCCCCGAGGCAGGAGGCGCCCAGAATCGAATCGAGAAGTCGGGTCGGCGATCGAAGTGAATCGGATCGGCGGAAACCGGCAGCCGAGTCGGGAAAAGTCAAATCGGCGACAATCGGCAGGCCAGTGTGCCTCCAAAAAGAAATCGGAACCCACATCGGAATCCCAAGCGAATCGAATCGGAATCGGCAGCCCTCGAAGCCGAATCGAATCGAATCGGAGGAAGCGAAACGAGCCCTGCGTGGGGCAGGGGCTCAGGGTCTCCTCCGCGCTCCGCAGAAAAGCGCGGGGAGTGCCCGAGATGCCAAAATCAAAAATTCCCGCTTGATGCTTCGTTCGCGCCTTTTCAGGCTGTCGACGCTCCAAGACGGCCAGAGGCCCCCCAAATCGCCCCAAGACGACCCAAGAGGCCTCCAAAACGGCCCTCAAACGGCCCAAGAGGGCACCAACACGGTCCAAGAGTATCACTGGCCCAGGGTGTCCCAGCTTCCAGGCCATTCTGAAGCCCCGGGCGCCCTTCTCGACTGGGGCCATTAATTATAGGGGCCGCGGGGGGCTCAGCGGCAGCCCTTGGGACACCTCGGGCCATGGCCACCTGTCAACACCCGAAGCCAGTTCGAGGCTCGAGGTTCAGGACTGTGTGATCAGAAAGTCATGGCAGAGGTCAGGACTCAGGGTCCTGGGTCCAGGTTCTGGGGCCCAGGCTGCAGAGCCCACAGTCCCTGGACGGTGCTCCAGATTCGGAGATCGGGTGTTTGAGGGTCGGGGATCCGAGTTCGCCCCACTGCGGCGCCAGAACGGGAAGGTGGCAGCGTCAGGGCTGGTACTCCAGAATGCAGCGCGATTGATTGCCCTCGGTCTCCTCCTCCTCCTCCTCCTCCTCCTCCTCCTCCTCCTCCTCCTCCTCCTCCTCTCCTCCTCCTCCTCCTCCTCCTCCTGCTCCTCCTCAACTCCTCAACCTCCTCCTCCTGCTCGTCCCCCCCCCCGCTCCTCCACAAGCCCCTCTGGGCCACACGCCTCCAGGCCTCCACCTGCGCTTTCCTTGACACCATCCTCTCCTCCTCATCCCATCCTCCTCCTCCTCCTCCTCCTCCTCCTCCTCCTTCTCCCCCTCCTTCTGCTGATCCTCCTCCTCCTCCTCCTCCTCCTTCTCCTCCTCCTCCTTCTCCTCCTCCTCCTGATCCTCCTCCGATTGAGGGCGGGCCGTTGTCAGAATGCGGCTCTCGCCGTAGCGCCGCGCACATTCGTTCAACAAAAACTGCAAGAGCTTCACGGATTGAGGGCGGGCCGTTTTCAAAATGTGGCTCTCGCCTGAGCGCCGCGCACGCTCGTTTTAAGAATGTGCAAGGGCTTCACGGAGTAAGAGCAGGTGGTTTTCAAACTGTGGCTCTCGCCTGGCGCCCCGTACATCCGATGTACACCTGTGCAAGAGTTTCACGGATTGAGGGCGGCTGGTCTTCACGATGTGGCTCTCGCCTGAGCGCCGCGCACTTTGTTTCGTCGCCGGCGGCAAGGCAGAGCTGGCTGCACCAGCGAAGAGCTGGACGGGGATGCAGCAAAGCGCATCGGCCAGCGTGCACGAGGGGGAAACCGGGATTAGCGCCGCGCGCATTCGTTTTACTTGTTTGCAAGAGCTTCATGGGCGCCCGCGATCAGCGCACCAGAAATAGGATCTGGAGCGATTCACGGTTGCCGGGGCGCAACAGTTACGCCGATCGCGGTGCCGAAGTCCCAAGAACGGTGTTCTGGCGCGATGCAGGATCGCCAAGGCGTACCTACCCCATTCAGGTTAACCTGTGGCGCTGGATTCCGAAGAATTGTGTTGGGCACGCTTCAAGATGCTCACACGGTTGTGCCCCTACGGGGTAATTTCCCTAGTGGAAATGAACACTTGCAGGGGCCTATGAAGAGGGAGCGTTGGAAGGAGGGTGGATTCCAACATCGTTGGTGAGTCTTGGAATTACACTGGTCCTCTTCCTCCTCCTCCTCTTTTTCCTCCTCCTCCTCCTCATCCTCACCATCACCATCAACATCGTCATCACCATCATCAGCATCATCAGCAGCAGCAGCATCATCAGCCTCAGCCTCAGCATCAGCATCATCAGCAGCATCATCATCATCACCATCACCATCGCCAGCATCATCATCATCATCATACGCATCATCAGCAGCAGCATCAGCATCAGCATCATCATCATCAACCTCATTCGTGTTCTCCTCCTCATCCTGCTCCTCTTCCCCCTCCTCTTCCTCCTACTTCGTCCACGTCCTCGTCTGCCACGTCCTCGTCCTCCACGTTCTCATCCACCGCGTCCTCGTCCTCCACGTCCACCCGTGCGGCGGGCCCCTACGGCGCCTCGAAGGCCGTCTCGCCAGCTGGCCCGCCGCGAAGGAAGGCGTCCGCGCCGCGACTGAGGAGGGTGTCGACGGCGGCCGCCGCGCGGCAACGTATGGCCTCCGCCGAGGAAGCTCGCCAGAAGGTTTGCTCACTTCTTCTGGCGAGGGAAGATGGGCGGCTGAGGTATCTCGGCGAGTCACGGTGCTGCTCTGAGGTGGGGGTCCTCCTCCTCCTGCTCCTGCTCCTCCTCCTCCTCCTGCTCCTCCTCCTCCTCCCTCCTCCTCCTCCTCCTCCTCCTCCTCCTCCTCCCTCCTCCTCTCCTCTTCTCTCCTCTCCTCCTCCCTCTCCCTCTCCCTCTCCCTCTCCTCTCCCTCTCCCTCTCCCTCTCCTCCTCTCCCTCTCCTCACCTCCTCCTCCTCCCTCCTCCTCCTCCTCCTCCTCCTCTCTCCTCCTCCTCCTCCTCCTCTCCCTCCTCTTCCTCCTCCTCCTCCTCGTCCTGCTCCTCCTCCTCTTCCTCCTCCTCCTCCTCCTCCTCCTCCTCCTCCTCCCAGATGCCCGGCGAAGAACGAGCAAAGCCAAGTGGGCACCTGGGTGCCCAAGCCCCGCCCCATACGCGCCCTCCCAGCAGGCGGACAGCTCGGTCAGGGAAGCCCCTCCCCTCCCCTGGGGAGGGTGGGAACCACCGCCTCCCCGCCAGATTGTAAAGCACTCCTCCCCCAGCCGTGCGAGGAAAACCGGCAAGCCACCCTCGACAACGGCAAGTAGGGCAGGACGCGCAGGCAAGATACAAGTGCCACCAGCTGACGCGTGGGCCTCCCAGGGCTACGAACGACCGGACAAGACAACTTCAGAGGGGCGCGGGATCCTCTGGCAGGATGCACACGCAGAATGCCCGAAACATCCAGGGCCACCGCGGAGCAGAACGACCGAACGCACATCGTGAGAGGGCGCTGCAGGGACGGGGACGGGGACGGGGCGAGGGGGGAACGGGGCGGCCAGGGAGGCAGAGGGGGCGCAGGCGCAGCAGCGAAGGCCTCGGGGGGGGAAACAAATTACGCTACCGAGGAACCCCACATACTCACATTATGGCTGGAGTGATGAGAGCTGAAGTGAAGCATGTTAGAATGATGTTGGTGGCCGTTGCCCCGCCGATACCGCTGTGCCATGGGCGACCAACACGGATAGCGGCCGCGGTGAGAGACCACCCCCTGCGCACCCCCTTATGGTGTCGAGAATATGCCGTGCCTGCTGTGCATGGGCGACCGTCACGGATAGCGGCCGCGGTGAGAGACCAGCCCCTGCGCACCCCCAATGGTGTCGAGAAAGTGCCACGCCTGCGATGCCTGAACGACTGGGGCGTGCTGTGCGGAGGGAGAGAAGGAGGAGGAGGAGGAGGAGGAGGAGGAGGAGGAGGAGGAGGAGGAGGAGGAGGAGGAGGAGGAGGTGAGACGCGGGTGCGGCGCAGCAGGGAAAAAACCATAACCCCACGAAACATGTGGGGAAAAACTCGGAAGGCCGCCGACGAAGCACCTGAGGGCTCGCCCCTGGTGCTCCCGAGCGTGCCATCGGAATGTTCGCTTATGCACGCCGGCGTCCGCCGCCCCTCCAGAGGCTTCCGCCGAGGGCGAGACGCCAGCTGCTCCTCAGAACCTCGCGCAGCTGGCCTCGCGCTGCGCGACGCGCGTCTACCTTTCGCGCCCTCGTGCCCTCGCGCCCCCGGCAAAGGAGGAGAAGGCGAGCGCAGGCAGCTCAGGGAGGACGAGAAGGCACGGAGGAGGACGAGAATAGAGGAGAGGGGGTCAGGATGAGAGGGAGCGCTGCTGATTGAGTCCATGATCCCAGCGAGAGAAAGAGCAGAGGGGCAGAGGGAGGAGACGGAGGAGAACGGCGTTCAGGAGGAGAGGGATGTGGGAAAAGATAGACGAGGAGGAGGCTGGTCAGAAGATGGAGGAGGAGTGCGTAGGAGGAGATGGTGGGATTTGGGCGAGGTGGTGATTAGACGAGGGTGAGGGAGAGAGGCAGCAGAATCTGCGAAAGTATCAAATGCAGCAGCAGCAAGAGCAGGGACAGCCAAGGAGGAGAGAACCTCTAATAATATCAAAAGGAGGATGCGATCTAGTCTTGGTTTGGGCTTCCCTCGAGGGGAAAGATCCCTGAGCAACCCTTCGAAACTCCTCACTTGCTTTTTCTGGTTGGCCCATCCCGCAAACAACAGACTGCTTGCAGTCAAGCTGCGCATTCTTCCTGGGTGAATTGATTACCCGTAGTCCCAACTCCTCATCATTATCATCATCATCATCATCAGCATCATCATCATCATCAGCATCATCATCATCATCATCATCATCATCAGCATCATCAGCATCATCATCATCATCATCATCATCATCATCATCATCATCATCATCATCATCATCCTCGCCCTCCTCCTTCTCCTCCTCATCATCCTCATCCTCCTCCCCCATACACTTCCTCATCATCCGCATCTGCCTCCTCCACACCATCCTCCGTGTCCCAGGCCACTCATCTGAGCTAGACGCGCTAGAATGGTCGGCAATGATTGCAACGGATGCTGGTAGAGTTTGGGCACACGGAGCGGCCTCCATCAACGGCGTCACTCGGGTGAGGTCGGCCAGGTTGGGGTCTGCCTGGCTTGCAGCAGCATCACGCGGCATCTGCACGCAGAAAGGACTGCAGCACTATGGCAGACCCCAGTAGACTTCCTCCCTACGAAGCTCTCAATTCAGGCCCTGTCGATGTCGGCGGGGAAGCATTCCAATCAGGGGCCCAGAGCGCCACCGAAACCCCCTTGACTAACAAACCCTGTCTGTTGAAAGGCGTCCCCCACGTGCTCTGGCAGGAGCTCTGGCGTGACCCGGTGGTCCAGCAGCAGGTTCAGGAGCTGCACGCAGTTCTCCGAGCTCGACCTGGCTCGGCGCGGGGACAGCACGCTCCCTGCGTGTTTGTCGAGCACCAAGCCGGAGCTACAAAGAGGACGTGGGGGCGCGGAAGCAGAGCTGGATCAAGGCACGCGCACACGCACACGCATGCGACAGGCAAGCAGCAAGCCCGCGCACGGAGCAGAAGCTCGGGAGAACAGGCAAAGGCGTGCTTGGCCCATCCCCCGCGGCCCGACGAGCCGCATCAACGCCAGCACGCTGCAGTGGGGCGGGGGGGGCGGGGAAAGAGAAGACTCCCCAAACAGCGCTTGCACACTTAAGGGGGTCTTACTTCTCTTCTGAAGAAATGGGCCCTGTCTGCTGCTCTGGCGGCCATGTGGCCGCCCTCGCCGCCCCGTCGCCGCCTCGTCGCGGCCCGTCGTCTGCCTGGCGCTCTGGCGGCTGTGGGGCCCCCCTCGCCGCCCCGTCGCCGCCTCGTCGCGGCCCGTCCTCTGTGCCTGTGTGTCGGTACAGCGGCTGTGTGACCGCCGTCGCCGCCCCGTCGCCGCCTCGTCGCTTTCCTGTCGCCGCCACATCGGTGGCGCAACATAGATTCTCCTGTCTGGAAAGAGAATAGACTCCACCCCCCCCCCCTGGCGTTATCGGCCCCCCTTTCGAATACGTAGATCATATATGATCATGACCAGATAGATGTCCTTCCGAAATATGGAATTACACTATCCCAGATGGGCCGGTATCGGTTCCCCTGAGGTTCCCTTTTGAAAAAACACTACGCGGGGACATTTTTGCTCTAACATAAAACTTGTTCGCGAATCCCTTGCAAAAAAAAGACGAAGTGCACACGCGCGCGTCGTCGCGCGCGCACGCCGAAATCCTTCAAAAACCTTCGGTGACGGAAGGATTTCGCAATCGAGATTCCCAAAAACCTACATAAACACAGGGGTTCGCAACACTGATTTGTTAAAAAAAGCGTACGCGCGAGCTCTTACGAAATCTTAAGAAAACCATTGGTTTTTCAAGATGTTCACAAAATGCTACCAAACGGGCTTCGCGCGCGCACATGTCGAAATCTGTCGAACGCCCTTGCGCGTGTGCCGTCGCGAGAATCCTCTGCAAAAAATGGGACGAAGTGCAGACGCGCGCGTCGTCGCGCGCGTATACCGAAATCCTTCAAAACTCATCGGCTTCAGAAGGATTTCAACATCGCGTGTCCAAAAAACCTACAAAAACACAAGGTTTCGGAACACGGATTTTCAACAAAAGCGTGCGCGCGCGCTCTTGCGTCGTCGTCGTCGTCGACGTCGCCGTCCTCCCTCCTGCCGCGTCGTCGTCGTCGCCTACGTCGTCCTCTGTCTTTCCTCGTGTTCGTCGTCGTCCTCTTTGGCGTCGTGGTCGTTTCCGTCGTCGTTGTCGCCGTGGTCGTCCTTCATCCTCCCTCGTCGTCGTCGTCGTCCGTCGTCGGCGTCTCGTCGTCGTCCCTTCTATTTCGTCGCCGCCGTCGTCGTCGTCGTTGTCGTCGTCGTCTTCCCTCCTCCCTCGTCGTTGTCGTCGTCGGCGTCGCCGTCCTTCCTCCTTTTTTGTCGTTCGCGTCGTCGTCGTCCTCCGTCCTCCCTCGTCGTTGTCGTCGTTGCCGTCGTTGTCGCCGTCGTCGTCCTCCCTCCTCCCTCGTCGTCGTCTTCGTTGGCGACGTCGTCGTCGTCGACGTTGTCTTCGTCGTCGTCGTCGGCGTCGGCGTCGTCGTCGTCGTCGTCGACGTCGGCGTCATCGTCGTCGCCGCCGTCGTCGTCGTCGTCGTCGTCGTCGTCGGCGTCGTTGACGTCGTCGTCGTCGTCGGTGTCGTCGTTGTCGCCGTCGTCGGCGTCGTCATCGTCGTGGTTGTCATCGTCGTCGTCGTCGTCGGCGGCGTCGGCGTGGTCGTCGTCGTCGTCGGTGTCGTCGTCGTCGTCGCTGTCGGCGTCGTCGAAGTCGTTGGGGACGTCGTCGGTGTCGTCGTAGTCGTTGTCGGCGGCGTCGTCGTCGTCGTTGTCGCTGTCGTCGTCGGCATCGCTGCCGTTGCCTAGTGCCATTTGGTACCCACCGTCACGGTCTTAAGAGATTTTGCAAGCCAAGTTGCGGGTGGGTGGGTGGGATGTTTGCGCGAGCAGTGGAGTGGACAACTCACTGTGAACAGAAATTAATTGCACCACATAGACTACACCACACCTATTGCACCACATGTATTGCATCACAAAGACTGCACCACAAATATTGCACAACCTAGATTGCACAACATAGATTGCACCACATAGGTTGCACAACATGAACATATACATCCATACACATATACAAGCATATATACATGTATAGCTATGTGTATACAAATGTGTGTGTATGTATATTGCTTAGTATAGATTGCACAGCGTTGATTTCACCGCATCTACTGCACCACGCAGGGTGCTCCACCTAGATTGCACCACACTGCTTACACTTATACAGCACTAAATGGAATGAGCCAGATAGATTACACCACCTATGTTGCACCACATAGATCGCACTGCAAACACATGCACACCAATGATTGCAGACCATATGTTGCAAAACATATGTTGCACAACATGGACTGCACCACAAATATTGCACACCAGAGATTGCCGAACAGACATTGCACAACACACATTGCACAACATAAAGTGCACAACATGTAATGCACAACGCTGAGTGCACGACATATACTGCACACCACAGATCGGGCCACATATATTGCACAATACCGTCACATGGAGTGTACCGTATAGATTGCACCATTCCACATAGCTTGTACACCATATTTGCACCGCACAGATTGCACAACATAAAGTTCACCGCATAGGCTGCACAGCATGTATTGCACAACATACATGTTATAACCTAGGTTGAACCACATAGATTACATGACACATATTGCTCCACGTACATTGCACCACATACATTGCGCACAATAGATTGCACAACACCCGCCACCGTGCCGCTGGGCACGGAGTGGGCGTGTCCTCAGGTCCTTTGCCCAAGCCCCTGAGCATCAGTCATTGATCCCCAAGATTCTTGTTAAGGGTCCTGGACCCCCCTCCACCGCCCGGCCTTCACATTAGAACGCATTGCGATCGAGATCTTGGGTTCAGGACTTTTTCCAGCCACTCATCTCCGGGACCAACTGCTCAATATTAAGGCCAGGGAGGGGTGCAGGGAATGGTGTTTTCGAAGTGGTCCCCCAACTCTTGATGCGCAGTTCTTTCCCCTCAACGGTAGGCCCCAGGATTCGGCCGAATTGCGCGGGATTAACCCACACTGAGCGGGACTTGGCCAGAGTAGATGGGTTTCGACCGCGGATCTGCCAACGCCGATGCTGCATTGAGCCTCCCAGGGGCGGCGGCCGAGGGAAGGGTGCAGATAGTGCAGAGCACGCTTCCTGGGAGGCAGGCTTCCCCTGCCGTCACAGACGGCCGCCCCCCTTGCCCTGTCCACCACCAGTACCCGAGCAGAAGCGATGCCCCGACCCATGTCCATCCTGACTGGCTCTCCGAGCCGCTTCCAGTTGTGGCGGCGAGAGCCTCCAGGAACCCCAGCTGTGGTGGCGACGACGTCATCGACGGCGTCGTCGTCTTGAAGGGCTCGGGGTCGAGCGGAGCGACTGTGGGCAGAGAGGACATAGGACGTACGCAATGAGAGCAACACATGTGCAGTGGCCGTTTGTCTGCGCTCATCGGGATATAGTTCGAACCCGAGTCGGAACACATCTTGTGAAACACTGTACAACCGACTGGATGCCACCGAATTGCACGCCTTCCAAAGATTCCTAAGCCCAATCTCTGGGTCACCCAACTTCTCGCACCGCGCCCCGCG